ATATGTATATAAATTATAAAATGTATATATATATTATATACTCGAAAAGAAAAGGAAAAAGCAAGAGGAAATACTAACCGAAAACGTACAAATATAAATAATAATTTAAGCCAATAGTAAAAGAAACAAGAAGGTATCCATATATGTGACTGTTTGTGTGTATGTGTGTGTGTGTAAGAGGCAGAAGGGACACGTCCACTCATAATAAAACAGTGGGGGGTTTGATATTCTTTCTATAGGGACGCACAACCATATATTTGGGTAGTGAAATACACGCGAAAATACTAAACAATAATATTATCGAATCAGTTAATTAATTAAAAATAAAATGAAAATCGAAAGTGTAAAGGGACCGATAACGATTCATTCATTCGTTCCTGACGGCAATAATTAAATAATTAACCGATTAACATACGGTACACACGCTGTTACTTACGGCAACTGTATATACACAATAATTTTCATGGAATAGTTTCTCCGTCACAATTATTACATGATTATTTTTTTATTTATTTAAATTAATTACTTTTTTCATGTATGTACTTAACCATTATTATCATTATCATACAATTTTAGCGTCATGTACTTTTCACCATAACTGTTGTAAAAATAGTAACAGTGATTAGTAATCGTGTTTTGCTACCTGTTCTTTTTGTCATTTTTTTTTAGCGATGAAACAGAAATATATATATATATACACATTTATGTGGGGTGTGGTTATACGTAACTAATGCATGTGTGTGTGTGTATGTGTGTGGGTGCAAAATTGTTCGATGGGTGGGTGAAAATGTGAACTGACTGATGGAGCGAGCCTAGTTACACCCTTGCGATCAGGCGTTTATATGCAAAAAAGTATTTAGTTTAAAAAAAAGGGGGGGGGTAATCGGATACTAATTAATAACAAGTCGTTAGGCGGAATTTCCGTAATGTTTTTAATCGTTAAAGCCAAAAGAAAAGAACAAACGTTGAAACTCGGCCACTACTTCGTAATAATTACTTTACATTATAAATACCTTTTTAATCGCTTAATGGAACGATGATATTATATGTATATGTACATCTCTTTTGCAAATCTCTTATTAATATACGTACGTAATTGTGTTTGTACGGATTTCTTTATATTATACATGTATGGTACCCAATTAAAAGAGGAAAGTAAAATTTGCACTTCTCATTCAACCACAACGAACGAAAAATCTACTCGCAAACATCATTCGAGATTACATTAAAATAAATTAAACACGATCGTTCTTTTTAGACTTATCATTTATTAATCGCAGTAATATAATTAATATGAAGGATAAAATGGAATAAAGAATAACAACGCGACGTGCATGGCACTTCATATACATAAAAATTATATTATATTGCCTATTCAAAATTCGTACAACAGCGCGCTCTACCTTTTTAAGACAAAAACCAGAATGAGAGGAAAAAAGAGGACTTTTTGCGACGACTGTCTCACGCCCATGTTTTTACGCACACACTCCGTCTCTACGTCTACTTTTACGTCTCAACCCCGACAAGCAACAATTTCTACCGTGAAATCAGGCGGCTAATAACGGGAGGAGAGATAAAAATGACAACGAAACCAAATGAGTAGTACCTAGTTAACAATAATCGTTGCCATAGAATCGAAGGGGTCGATCTCTTAAATAGGCAGGGAGGAAACAAGGAAATGGTCTTTTCTGTGTGTATCGTGTGTGTATGTGTGGCGTTGTTGACGTACTCATTGTTTTATACTATTACTTGTGTCAACTTTTAATGGCGTTCAACAACTTATCACCGCAATGGTTGTTGTGGGTGAGTAGTAGTAGTGGTGAGAGCTAACCTGCTTCGCTGTCGCTGGAGTCCGACGAGCTGCTCGATATGCTCGACGTACTGCTGTCCGTGTCCGAACTGCTCGAACTGGAGGACAGGCGACCGGTGGGACCGCCAGCTCCCGCTGGATCCACTTTGCTAGCCTCTTCTGAAAGGCACAAGCGATATTTTACGTACCGAACAGCAAACATTTCTAATTTTTTACTGACCTTTCTTTGTCGTCTTCTTTGTATTGCCTATTTTATCGTTAACGTCGTTCAGTCTCTTCTCCAACTCTTGCTTCTTCTCCGCTATCTGCTCGTCTTTCGACTTGCCCGGCATCTTTTTATCTGCAACGAGATTTATAAGGGTACCGTCCAATTCAGAAAATTATCAACAAATATAAAACAATCACCGCTGAATGTTCCTCTTACGGTTTCGTAGCAAAAAACGATAACGACGAACTCTTCTGGTTAGATTTCGTCGTTCGTAAGTTTAATTTTAGCCAAGACAAAGCATGAAACCAAAGATTATTTTTAACCTTTTCTTTTTTTAATCCAGTGATCATTTTATATGTGCATACGTTGCTAATTAATTACTTAATGAATGCCTAAATTAACGTTCCCCTTCACCAGATAACCAGTAACAATTAGAAATAACACGCATTAAACTGGTAGAGCATGCTGTAAAGCGTTAGACTTAAAATATACCCCTTTCGTTACTTATTCACTTTGTCCCACGACAAAAAATTTCGATATTATCATGCACAATAAAATTTTGATATATGGATCATTCTAACTTATTAAACACATCGACATGCGTTTACTGATTTTAATAACAAATCCTTTAATAATAAATCCTTCAAATTTATTTCATAAAAGGAAGCAAAAAACACCAACAAGCTTGCCTATTATTTTCAATGGTATCTGAGGGCAAAAATGTTTGGAAAAACTGTAATCAAGATTACAATTATTAAATAAAGAAGCAGTTTACTCCCAAATACCACAAAGGCATAGAAAAGCCACCCACTTCTACCGTCACCTCCACCTTAATTAAAAAAAAAAAAAATAGGAAAACATAGCACCCAGCTTATTACTTTACTTTCCAATAGTCAAGGTCGAGTCTACCATGCTTAGAAATGTGTAGTTCCAATTACAACGTCTGCTACGTGCCCCCCTATTTCGTTTATTTTTCTAGACACACTTAAATAAAACTATAAAGGCATAACAAATTGTAAAATAGTTTAGAGGGGGGCAAGGGGCAACCACCGGTGCTCTGGTGACGCAGATTGTGCCGGCACGTCCGACGTTAAGTAACGGGAACTTACAGTAGGGCTTACGTGGCTTTTTGCGTAGACACGACGCTACGTAGCTCTCCAGTTCTCGTAACGTGGACGGCTTGAGCGTCTCAAAGTCGATCTCGATTTCATCCGGATTCGAATCACGTAACGACGGCTCTCGCGACTGTATTATGTGCACTACACGCCCCAATTTGTCACCTATATATCAATTTAACATAATTATTAAAACAATACAACATAAATAATCAAAGAAATTGTAATTACTTCAGAAAAATGATGATTATAAAGAATTAATATTTTTCTGTAATTATAAAGAAGACAGGGCGGTCTTACCTGGCAGTTTGTTGATGTCTAATGAAAGTTGTCGTTTCTCATCGTAGGACATTGGTTTCGCATTGTCCTCGTCCTCAGAGTCGAAGGCAAGTGCGGGGGCTTGCGCCGCCGATTTCTTACGTCCGGCGCCAGTCTTATTGTTTGCCTTCTGTCTCTTGGACGCTGCGTTACCCTGCGCTGGCTTCGGTCCCCTCACACCTGTGCACACAAAAAAGAAAAACCATTCCAGTAAGACATTGCAAAGCAAAAATGTGAAAAAGAATCCCCTCATCCGCGAAGAAATTAATAACAGCATTTTTGTGTTTTTCGGAGTCTTAAATGTGATAAATGAACACAGCAACAACAATTTCAAAAACAAATTCAATCAGTTAAACACTATTAAGGAGCTTTAAATTTTTTTTTGTAATGCGGACTTCCCTACAGTCTTCTAACTTAACTGAACATCAAAAACTACCAAACTGTACCTAAGAATTACAAATAAAAAAAAAAAAATATGTAATTTTTAATTATTTACAGAAAACCTGAAAGTGCGCGACTCTAGTTGTCT